GGGGGGGGGGGGAGTGAGTTGTCAATTATTAAGTTTATTTGCACAGCGATAAACTGTTCTGCAGAAGTTGACTGATACAAATACTGATAAAATTCTTTGATAAGAACAGAGCAATAAAAGACACACTTGAAGATTTGTACAAAAAGATAAAAAACGTCACAATGTTGTAAAATTAAAAAAATAAATAAAAGAAAGCAAGGATGCAAAAATCAATATGAGGTTTACTGTTGAGAAGATGTGTTACTGCATCCTCCTCTGCTGGTCAAAGAGGACACAAAGATAAAACGCTGCTCTCATCGTCTCACCACCAGCCACTTCTTTATTTTGACATAATACAGTCTTATTTTCAGCCCGGTCTGACCTCAGTCTACTGTTACTGTTGTGCTGAAGCATACATCTTAATTTTGGCGGGGCCGGGTCGCTCACTTAATGTTAGCCAATTGGTCCTTTGGGGGAGAGCAGAGGGGTTACACAGCGAGTGGCTTCTGCCCCAACCGGAGATCATTCTCATGGGAACAGGAGTGGATGGAGAGCCCGGCGCACAGAGCTGTGATACATAGAACTAGTGTCCCTGACTTTTAAACGGGAGTAAAGTCTGATTGTGGGAATATTTGTTCTTCATATATCATCAGTGCTTGCATTCAATCAAAGAGTATAAGTGGTCAAACTGTGTAGAAAATTACTCTCAAGTCAAAAAAGCCTCCATTTACCGTTCTCTGTAACATCTGATGTTCATTTCTTCATCATCACCCTGACAGAGGCATTCATCTTTTTGTCCTTCATCCGAGTGTGCAGCAGGTTTTAATTATGTCCTCATTTATCTACGGACAGTTTTTATTTATGTATTAGTGATGATATCTAAATGAGCTGCACAGGCTGTTGTTGTTGAAGACATAAAAAATCATGAGGCAGCATAAAATAAAACTGATAACTATATAAATAAAAAATTTAAAAGTAATCAAAGCCATTAGAAAGAAGAGTTGAGTGTAAATTCCAATTGAACAGCCTTTTCCCTTTTCTTATTACATTAAGTATTACAGCTTGCCTTTAGCATGGAGAATTAACACGCACACACATACACCCCTATTTTGATATGATTTGTTTGTTAGCTTTTTTTACCTAACTAGCATCTGACCAGCCAACAAATAGGTGGAGCTGTGTGACAGACTAAGCTCAAACTATACCCTGTATAACTGTAACTGCAAGGATAAACGCCAAGACAATGTTTATCATCTGCCCACGTCCTTGCAGACGTCCCTGCACAGCTAAAAATGTTATTTTTGTAAGATTTTTTTTGCCAGAATTTGATAACAGACAGACAGACAGACAGAGGGGGAAGAGGGGGTTATGATATGCAACAAGGATCCCCAGTGGGAATGGAATAAAGGGCATTGTGGTTCTAAGACATGTGAACCTGACCAAGGTGAAAAATGCACTTATTTTGTCAAGCAATGAGTAAAACAAATCTACCAGCCACTTGCATATTTTACCAGCATTTGGCTGCTAAATGGTCTTAATTTTGTGCCCCTAGCACTAATATTCAGGATTGCCTGAACCCAAAGTTCATGGACTACAGCACGTGCAGTCACACTGTCTGCCCTGTTGTCCGCATTCATTTTGGCAATATCAGAGCCATAATTTGCTTCATGCTCTTATTTAAAATCCATATTGAAGATCTCTGGTTTCTCTGTCTGGAATAGTTAAGCTGAGGTTTAGAGTTTAGGATGTGTGCCTCTTGGTTAATATGGTGATTGAGAAATGTCCTGTTTTGTTCTAGAGGGACAACATATTGGTCCCAAATGTGGTCATACACAGGTCAGACAGCGGAGTATATAATGACACAACTACAAAAATGGACTAAAAGACTTAACGTGGGAAAGCGGTTGTTTCTCTTCATATTTTAGTTGAATTTCTTTATTAAGTCACTGAAATCAGATCATATCCAATGACAGTTATCATTTTTTATCCTCTATACGCCAAAAACATTTCAAAATTTCAGCAGCGGCCGTCCTAGGATGCCAAAGGAGATTACGACGACATGCTGTGAGACATTTCTGTGCTCTCCAGTTCTGTGTCCTGGTGATGTCTGTACTCTCTTCTATTCATGCTGATATCAGGAATAACAGAGGGCACATGAGTCATGAACCAGCCCTTTCACCTTCCCTCTGTGGGAACGGGCGGACGGATGAGGATGTGTGTTTTTTTAATTCCAGGATTTGATTTCAGCTATGCCTGTTTCTGTCTTTTTTGGCCCCTTTGTCCCCAACTTGATGTCTGTTTATTTGTCCATTCTTTCTTTTTTCTCCTTGCTTACCACATCATGGTTTGGTAGTTTGGCAGCGTTCCCACTCTTTTTAAGAAATCATTTTCCAGGACATTCTCCAGGAGTTTTCTTGACAATACAGGAGAGCACTTGCTCACAAACAGAAGGCAGTTTTAGTACATTTAACCAGTTTTATTCCTTCTTGTTTATTGATGCAGGTTCATGATAGAGGGTCTCTGGTTCATTACAGACAGGTGGTCGGCCGTATCAACAAATGTAGTTTTTGATGGTTAATAAGCTGTATGCATGCACCTTCTCTGAGAATTTGTGGCTCCAGAAAAAATAGACCAAAGAGATCGCTGCAGGTCTGTTCCACGTCTGGTGTGAACAGTTATAGATCGACTGACATGGGAGCTGAAATTTGTGTTTTTTCCGTTCCGTCCTGTCGAGTTTCAAACATAATACACACCTGCAGCATAGATTATTTCCAGGATATTTGGTTATTTTAATACACTTCCAGGTATTTACATGACTGGGAAACTAGTCTCTAAATGTCCAGGTTTTCCAGATTTTCCAGGATGGGTGGGAATCTGGTGACTGGTTTCAAGAGTTACAAGACGTTAAAGAAGTTTAAGTTTAAGAAGTTTAAGATTGTGATCAAAACTCACAGGCTGTTGATTGAGGAAGAAATTAAGGCTTAATTTCTCTAAAAATGTAAGATCTTTTGGGGACAGCAGATACATAATGATGTTTGTATTCTATAACAAATGAGGAAATATGTTTTCTTGTGAAATTAGTTTGATTTGTTCTCTATAAACTCTCACATGCATTCACTGTGTTTAGATTTTTACTTTTCTATCTCTATGATTATACATCTAATGTTATTTAGAAATATTGTTTCTCTTCCACGCGTTAGGCCAAAAAAGATTACTTCAGATAAAGTGTCAGAGAGACAGAGGGGATGAGGGATGGCAGTGAAGAAACAGATACAGGGAAGAAGAAACAGACAAAATAAGGAGGACTGTGGAGACAAAGAGATTTAAAGTGAGAGACAGATAAAGAGAGCGAGAGAAGGACAGAGAAGGATTTCCTGTGTTGAGGTTTCAGATCACAGCGGCTTTAATAAAGTTCAAGTTTGACTACAATCTGCAGAATCAATCATTACTCTTCTCTAAGAAGAGAAATGCTTTTTATGTTTCATTCCAGTGTATGTTTGAGCATAAAAGCTTATAAAGACCATGTCTGCTCTCTCTCTCAGTCAGCCAAGGACCAACCAGGAGGTTAGAGCCATGCACGAATACAGCAGACAGACATAAACTGTACATTTAATCCGTACAGGCCCTGAATCAGTTTGTTGTGCTGAGCTCTAACAAGTATTAATATAAAGCCACACCTGAGGAATGAGACCTGCTTATGCATCAACAACCCCTTGAATAACACAACTAGCTCTGAATTTCTCTGTGTGAGTTGAAAAAAACATGAAACATGAAATCTACAAACAGTGTTTGGTTTATAGAAACATGGTGGTTCAACATGGCTCCGTAGAAGAGGACCCGCTCCCTCTGTAACTCCCTCTGGCTCATTATAAAGTAACAAAAACACTACGATTCATGTTTCAGGTGATTATACACTAATGAAACCGTGCAGGTGACTTATCTGTACATGGAACCTGATGACCATCAAACACATCGAGCACTGATAACCAGCGGTTTTAAACCTGCCATCCAAACCATTTGAATGTAATTTGTTATTTTAATATGACTACATATTACTGCTTCAGATTCTTTGGTAATAATCTGTGTATTTAACCTTTCTTTTTTAAAGACTATGGGTGTAAAGCTGTCGCAGATTATTGTGAATAGCATCATTTCTGGGACACTCCAGCACGACAGATGTTTGCTGACACGATGGTTTGAATACGGAGCAACTTCTACT